AGCCAGAGTTCTAAATCAGATAGTTTTGATCTATAGGTGTCTGACTCTAAATCTCGATTTCTCTTATTCACAGTTCTCTATTGCTCCTCAAGTATAATCATAGTTAAATTCATTTTTTTAAAAGAAAACTATGTGGGCTTCCCTGGTGGTGCAGTGGTTGAGAGTCTGCCTGCCGATGCAGGGCACACGGGTTCGTGCCCCGGTCCGGGAAGATCCCACATGCCGCGGAGCGGCTGGGCCCGTGAAACATGGCCGCTGAGCCTGCGCGTCCGGAGCCTGTGCTCCGCAATGGGAGAGGCCGCAACGGTGAGAGGCCTGCGTACCGCAAAAAAAACAAAACAAAACAAAAAAAACCACTATGCTATATAGAATAAATAGGCAATGAATGTGTGTGTGAAAGAATAGATACAGATAATATCCATCAATCAGCTAAGGCTGGTCAAATTCACAAATTTGGATTGTGCCCATAAATGACCAATTCCTTTTCTCTTTAATCTAATAAATGCTATTTCCTTAGTAAATTATTAATATATGAAAACAGTCTTCGGTATTTATTAAAGTGAGGCCTAAAACTTATGTAATATTCTTATTCCTGAATTTTGTGTTTCCTTTAAATTAATGTTAAAGTTTCATCTCTCCCTCTGGTTATTTATTATTAAGGCAGAGTAATTTGTAGTCTGTCATCATGTATAATTTCCTCTTGAACAGATGGGTAATAAGACAAGCAGATAAATATGAACATTTCTCAATGGGAAAAGACCAGTTAAATCACCTGCTGTAAAGTACAATATAAATACCATCATGTTAGGCTAGGATTCAAAGCACAGTTTCTTTCAAACTGGTCTAGGGATAGGGAATTAAATGTGGCAAATTTAATTTATATTTTCCGGTGCCTTTAGGTCAGCAGGGAAACATGCAGTTTAAACTCTGTGCTTAAGGTTGTCTGTCTAAAGCTACTTCTGGTCTAAAAAAAGAAGAGGTCTATCACACCTTTGATGCTGTAGTTTACTATTAGGAAGAAGCAGATTTTGATTCTTAGAAAGACTTGTAATCTCCAGCTTGAAAGACATTTAATGATTTAATCCATGGCTTTAACAGTAATGCTGGAGTCACAGTAGGTATATATTATACTTGTACTCCAGGGAGCACAAATGCACAGCTTCTTTAGCAAAATATGCAATGCAATGTGGTTAATAAGGTGCATCTCTGCAGGTAACCATGTGGTTCTAGGCAGGGCCCTTTTACAAGGCTGGCATGATAGTAAAACTCCACAGCATCACCATGTGATGTAGAACTTCACAGAATTCCTCCATGATAAGGATTATCAAAGCTATTTTTTATATGAAAAAAAGTTGGGAGTCATCAGGTGAGTACCTGGTCCACACTAGTATAGGGATCCAGGTCCTACTGGAATCAAAATGGAAACAGCATGAGTTTTAGACTTGAGTTCCTCTTGTGATTCTGCCAAGTACGGGACAGAGCTTTGTGGAAACTTAATGAAGGCTGGTAATTTGGGACTCCTTCAAAACCAAATTTAGAAAATATTTGGTTACTATTTATTTAGAGATGGAGCAGTGAGTGAGAGCATGGCGGATTAGAAAGACTTTTGGGAGGGGAGCACGAAGAGAGTGCTTCTCTTTGCCACTTACTACAGTCCATAACCATCTTCATTATTTATTTGCTTGTGTTTTATGAATTGTCTCTCCACCCACGCACACACATATCAACACATTTGAATGTAAGATCGACCCTTGCCTGTCTTTGTCAGTATTGCATCCCCAGTGCCGAGAAACATGCCTAATAAATGGTAGGCACTCAGTAAGTAAGTATTTGCTCAATCAATAAATCAATCACATCAAGCTTATTCAGAAGATTAAATGAGATATTATGTTAGATGATTCTGACCTTTAAAAGGAATATAATAACATTTCTGAAACTTTTTTAAGATTAAATGGCCATTTCTTTAAGAGAAAAGCATTTATATTACTCTTATAAAGTATAGATATTATAAATAGGGTGCATGCTTAACCTACTTTTTTCTGAAAAAAAATTTGCAGAGAAGGTAAATTATTCAGGCCTCTCTTAGTATAAGTCTATTTAACTGTTTCAATAATTTATAACTCAAGAGTATAAAGCAAAGAACTTCACACGCTTACATGGACATCTCAAACTGATTGTAACTAAATTTTGTGGAAAAGCCAAATGTGGAAATAGAGAGCCGTAAATATCAAAGCATTGCCCAAACTACAGAGCCAGAAAGGAGCAAGAAAACCTCAACCTTTCATAAACTGATTGCATGTCCCATTTCTTTCCACCTTTCATTCAGTTCAGCTTGAAAGACCACCACAGACACACGCTTTC